AGAACGCGTCTTTCAATTTTCTTGCGGATGAAACGCGAATCATAATCGTAATAATGTTTAAGTAATCGTAACGGTCGTGCACGAAACACGAGTCATTGGAGTCAAAAAGTCGGTGGGACGGGAGGGAGAGAGAGAGAAAGAAAGAGAGAGAGAGAGAGAATCGAAGGAAAAAAGAAGAGATCAAAAGAAGAGTGCCAAAGGTAAAAATGAGTGTGTGATTATTTCGATTTCCAATGCAAATTCAAACGATTACACGGCACTTAGACCAACGGCTAATTCCAGCGGAGCTCGTTGCTCACATTGAATCACGCGAATCGATTAATCGACGATTCTTCACGATCAGATCGTGCGACGTCGTTCGGTAAATGGAAGTTTTGCGCCAACGATATACGCGTCCCAAAATTTCAGCTATAAAGACGAGTGAGTGAATCTTACGACGTGATTACGCCAAGTTTCCAAGTGCCATTCCCTTCCTCTCTTCTCCCCCATCCCTCTCACCGGGCAATTCCGCCTCGAGCCATGGAGCCGCGAACGGCGATTGTGACAAAATGCCGCGCGGCGTTCGTAATTTTTACAGCGCCCCGCACAGATATTACTCGGGTACCCGAGAGAACTACTAGAGAGGAACGCGCGAGATGTCCGTGAATTCTACTCTTCTTGCGAGGTGTCCGCGCCACGAAGACGACGGTGACTATCCGCATTCCTTTCGCGCAAGAAGCGCGAGTTATATCAATTAAATCAACGGCCGTGGAAACGACGCGTCGATTATTATTTCATCGAGCGACAGACAGACAGACGGACGATTGAGATAATCGAAAATTAAATAGTTCTTAAATAAAAGCTTCTCTAAATCTTAAAGAAGCAACGATAACCATCTGCAGCACAAAAAAAGAAAAAATAATCTGTTACATCTTGAAGTTCTCCGTTATGTCTTCATATTTGACGTAACTTGCCAGGATCAATATATAATTTGACGAAAATTTCGATTTGGATGAACACATTTTTTGTAGAATAATTTCTATTTAAACAATAATTATACGAAACAAAGAATATTTGAGTTTGAAACGTTATCTAACAAAGCTAAATAGTAACACTTGATGTTAGAATGTCATTACAAAACGTCTTACTGAGAATTCTAGTTGTTAATGGAGATCTGCGATAAAAGTAACCTGGTATTTATTTTATAACACATATACTCGTTGCGATAAGAAGTTTATAGACTTGTGTATTTGTACCAATATAAAAATCGTCTTATTGAAATGTCTCGAAGCGTCCCTGACTTTTTCTCTATATACAGCGTGTCTCGTTGTACTCGAGCCCGAGCGGCATCAATCTTCTCGTGCACGTTGGAAAGCCGACGCGGCGCCCCGCGTCCCGATAGACGAATTAATTGATCCGAATGAAACGCGACAAAAATGGTTACGGGACTTCCCATCGTCACATCGGACGACTCAATCCGCGCGCGCTCGTCCTCGAGCACGCGTTCCACAAAATTCGGGATCACCTCGCGCGAATATACGAACGCAAAAATATTCTCTCGGCGTCGTGGTTTCTCTTTTAACACGGCGAGAAGAAAAAACCGCACGTGGCACGCGCTGAGGTCATAGATATTTCCTAAAATAACCCTAGAAAAAGAGAGAGAGAGAGAGAGAGAGAGAGAGAAAGAGAGAATGTAAATGAAGTTCCAGTTACACTTTTCTGAAAAAAGAAAAATTTTATTCGCATTAAAAGCCACACGAGGACGACTCTACAACGAGCAATATCTGCCTCGATTCCGTCCCTTTTCCAAGCGAATGCGAGATTTAAGGAGTTTATTCCCCAGGTATGTACTTTTAGAGAGTGCTCACAAGGGTGAGTATTTTCAGTAGCTCATCAAGGAAGCTACTTATAACTTCGCTATCGAAGTTTATCGAACAAAATGACGCTTTTATATATTTATTTCACTATCTAAATAATAAATGTTACTTTAATATTAATTTCATAATACTATCTTGCCACATTTCACTCAGTACAATGCTACTCAAATCGCGTGAAATTTTAACTACGAATGTGTTTCACTACGATAAATTCGTTACGTAAAATTACAAGCATTTTAGTTTATAAGTGAATAAACTTCTCAATTCTCTCGACTCAAAGTAACCTGAGTTTATAAGATACCGCTGTAGAACGAGATCTTCCTCGTCCCTCTCGCTGCGGCGAAAGAGCATGCGTAACCGCGTCTCTCTCTTTTTCAACGGTGGTGTTCCGAGAAAGTCGTGGAAGAATCTCCTTTCCTCGGGGTCGGGGCACACGACGAATGGACAAATTACAGGGTGCACGGAATAATGAGGCTCCCGTTCTAGGACGTACACCAGAAATCGGGGCATCTCGCGGTTATAAATCACGCGGAACACGACCGAGCCGCTCCGTAAAACGGCCAATTGACGTGTCTCGAGAGCTCGCACGGCCGATGATGCGCGTGCCACGAAAGCGTGCACGGAGCAAGCGCGATGACGCGAAGGGAACAATGCGGGAACGTTAACGATGAGACGAGATGTAAGAATAATGCAATGCAACAAGGAGACGCGGATGCATCCCGAGACGTTCGTACGGTCGCCATCGTTATTTGTGTTACGTATTACCTGTCCATCACGTGCACTTTGTACGAAGTGTCGCGACGGTACCCCGAGTGTAATTTCACACCCTCCTCTTTAATGAGGAATCTTGTAGCGCCAACACACGCGTTCGTCGCGTAGTAACGCGCGAAAGAAAAGCGGCGAGTATTTCACAATTCGTGAAAATTATAACGGGTTAAGATAGAAAGTCAAGACGATCTTACCCGGAGTGTTCTCCGAGTGCGAGGAAGAGATGAACATGTAATTGCGAAATTGGTAGTGTTACTCGTCTTCCAAGCAGGATGTTGACGGCCTTTTCTAAAGGTAGCTCGCGCAAACAATACACCGGGATGTATAATTGATTCCAAAACACACATTCTGTCAAAACCTATTATAAAGGATTTACTACATGCTAATTTTCTAAAGTAAGTATAAGGGAGACGCACGGCGCGCCGCGGAAAACGGTACTCATTGTAATGCGTGCGATTCGCAGTGATTCTAATAACGCTTCGCCCGACTACCAATCTCAGAAGAGAGAAACAAAACGTATCGTTTATTTTTTAAACTGATATATGGAGATAAACTCCTGTTAAGATTCATCCCGATATTCTTTAATCTGTTCCCGAATCGATTCTCACGAGTCTACGTATAGCGTTGAACAAGAAACTAATGAGAAAAATTCATATATGCTCTAAAAAAAGAACACAGAAAGAAAAATACACCAAGGATGCGTCTTCATATTTGTCGATAAAAGACATCACCGTCGCAGAAGAACGGAAAGTATCGTTAAAGCGGGAACAGCTCGTTGAAACGTGGTTATCTGTCGAGTTAACCATATGGTAATGATATTCCGTTCGACTTCGCCGTGTATCGCAAAAACGATATCGCACGTGAAAACCGAGCGCGCCGCTTCGAAATGCAACGTCAACATTATTACGGGATTGAGAATTCTAATGATACATTGGACCCGAGTATATCGATACTTTTTATTGGACATTTCGATAATTTAGCACCTTTTGCCCAATCACTCGACGTTATTGACACATTCTTGCCAATAGTGTATGCAACTTCGGTAATTACGGGACGCGGCAAACGGGACAAATATTTCCTTGAAACAGAATACGATCGACTAACGATATCGGTCGTCACGGAAGAGTCCCGTTGAAAATAACGATTTCAATATCGCGCAAACAATCGCACGACAGCGTGCCCTCTCGAAGACTAATATAACGTGGCTTTACCACGTCAATATTTCGTCAACAAAATAGGAATATCTTTTTCTGCCTTCTGCGAGGTATATACATAGAAAAAAAAACATACTGAACTCAAGTAACTGTTATTTGTTTCAAGTATTTCGTGATTTTATATGTCCGCAAATCTATCATTTAAGTTCATCATAAGCATCAAATTTATTAAAAATATATTCTGAATTTTAGTAAATTTCAACGAAGAATATATATAAAATTAAAATAAAAATGCGATTTGTTTATTACATAGAACCGAACCAACTTTTTCTTCAACAAAATTTTCTAATATTCTCGCAAAAAGAAGAAATTCTTTGTTTGAGTACATAATAACGAGCTTATCTTAAGTTTAATGTAACGAGTATATTTTAAGACCATTATATTTCTCTCAAGAAAATACTTTTTGTTGAGCATTACCAAGACAAGCATTACCAGATAGAGAGAAAGTAAACTGAGTGATCGCTTTTCTTAGCGGTAGAATAATATTTGTCCGCATATGTGTGCAGCAATTGCGCTAACGCTCCAAGAAGAAGCAGAAAGAGAAAAGGTCGCCTTTCGAAAGCGCTGGAAGAAATCGGAGCGATTCGACGACGCGGCTTGTCCGTTACGGGCACGCGAGTTGAGGTAGGTCGGGCAGGCCGACTCAGAAAATCAAATGGCCACGACGAATTTATATGCATTTCAAGTTGGTCCCACGACGACCGCCGCTCTCGCACCTGCCTCGCGCGAGCGAGCCCGAGCATCCTGGCTCTCCGCCGCTCGTGAGAAACGAAGGAACGTTTATCACGAAAGCGACCGGCGGCCTGCGGCTATGCGCGGAATCGAGATACGCGGAATACGGAGCGAGTGTCTGCGGAGCGACGACGATGACGGCCGATTACCATATTAATCGCCGGCGCGATTAGACGTAATCGCTCGCGCTTATATCCTCAAGCTCGTGTAAAATTATGTCGCGCAAATTAGTGGCCCGTGATGAGACCGCGGTCGAAAGCGTGGGCATGTAATCGCGCGATAAGCCGCGCATTTAGAAGTCGCGTTTCGTTATCGCCGAGTAATATTACTCATTCGCTCGCTCGTTCTATCAGTAGATCGTTGCGCTTTCGGCATACGCGAGAGATACTACGCGATGTAAAGAGAAAGAGACCAGGAAAATTTCACTCACCCGTATATGGCGTCCTTGTCGCGTTTGTGAACATCCGGAACCGCGGAGGCTGCGGCCGCAGCTGCCGCCGCGAGAACGTGCTGGGGCGGCTGAGGCGGGGGCGGTGGATACTGGGGGTGAGCTGGACCCATTCCCCCAAGGTGTGGACTGTGATGAAGACCGGGAACGCCACGGGCACTACCGTGTGGATCGTAGAGCCCTGCGCCACCACCGCCACCTCCGCCCTCGAGGTAACCCCCGTGCAGCCCGCCATCGTCATACTGCAATCATAAACATTGCGCACTCATTAACTCATCACCGAGGCTTCATGCAGAAATAACAAGTATGTAATACCGGTTTAAACTACCCCCCGTTGTCCGGGTTTCTTTTACATCTACAACATCTAAACTTAAATTATCACAAATTGTCAAGGGGATGAAATCAGCGGGTTGAGTATATAAATGTAATGTGATAATAAACATAATTATTATTTGAGCGACGCAGAGACGGCGAATATTTCTTTCTTCCTTTTTCCAGGCATCTACGCGCAGGAGGTTTCGATCGATTAGACGAGAACGAGTCGTCATTAACATGAGAGACGTAGGATCGGAATAACATTGTAAAGTGCTTTGCACAAATTTTCAAGAAACAATGGAATTATTCATGACTCTATCCGATATGTTACTCGATGCGCGCTCAGCGCTAAAGAATGTTGAATTTCTTTGATAAGCACACGAAAATTCATGAAATATTTGAGTGTACACCAATAGGTTTATATATTTATATTGGTGTTTTACTTTTCACAAAGATACGATTTATCAACGATGTCGTGTATGCGCTCTCGATTAGATAAGTGTTGTACAGTGAGTTATCACTCACTAATGTAAAAAGAAGCATACGCTCCGCACAATTATCATCCGCCAGTGCCTCCTGAATACTGTGCGATCCTTTCTTTAAACTTCTTTCTTACATAAATATAGGCTCCCCGTCGGTTCTGCCGTCGGCTCATAAATTTAGAATCGCGCGCGCGCGTTTAGAACGATTGACGTAAGGATGCGGACGAAAGCGCACGTGGACGCTCGAAAGGTGACACCACAGGACACCACTGTCGCGAGAAAATGTCACGTCTCTTTTTTTAAGTAAACTCACAACAATGTAAAGAGTCTCGTGGCACTGCCAAGTTCGTGGGACGAACATCAGCTGGCGCTTCTAAGGACACCGCGTTCTAAAACCGGATGCACGATATAGCGTCATCGCGGTCTGCGGTCGCGTGCTCGCACGAGGTGCAATTAGATTTAGAAAATAAAAGTCCTCATGCACGCGTCATCGATGCGCACGTGAGCTCCGACCATCAATCACATCGTATTCACGATGCAAAGTAGTGTTTCTTTTTTTTAGGGACTAATGTAACTGTAACTTTAAAAAGTTTAGAACTGCGAATAATTAATTCGTAAAACTCCTTCCTCGAAAAACATTATTGACCGATAATGTTTCCAACATTGTCTAATATTTGCTTTAATCATCCTCGAAACACAACCAAATTCATGGGCCGGCCACACGAAAAGAATTACAGATATTTTTCTTCTTCTTCATATAATTTTTTTCAATTTTACTATGTTTCTATGTTGAGAGAAAAAATATCTAAGAAGTGAAAAATTTATTCAATAAGTACCAAGCTTACACTGCTATAAAATATTTTTCCATTAAGAAAACATACATCTCTTTGAAATCTTAGTTTTTCATGAAAGCGATTATTTATTCTATTTAAATAAAAAAATTAGATTTAAAAACAGATACCAGTTATAAATATCCACCAAATAAATATTTCTTACATATTTTTTCTCTCAGTGCATAAATAGACTGCCGGTAAGATAGATTTAGAGACATAACAAACTTTTTAATAGTATATATCAAATGAAAGCACAATCAGTTAGCGCGAAATATCGACTCAATATCGGTCAAGGAAAGAATTTAACAGCAATTTTTACTACGAAATTCTCTCCGTGTTGAATGACGTCCAACAAAGCACGAGTTGTTTCGTCGATTAACAATGTGTTAACAATGTGTTAAGAAACATTTTATTTTACAATTTTTTTCGAGAATTAATTCAGCCTGCTCTATCCATATATCTAAGAATGCCGAAACCTTCGCGCGCACATGCGCGATCTTACAAGTTTTTCTCGGCCCCGTCTGATGCGACTCGCCGCCATTGAAAGAGGGAGAAAGAAGTATGAGATTTAATCACCACGAGAGACATAATTAATTACATACCGCCGGTACGACCGGTAATAAATAACAGCGTATTCAATTACGAACAAGTCTAGCCGCGCTAACTCGCAGAGACCTTCCAGAATACCGCAAAAAGAAGCGAAACACCGGTCGAGTCTGTGTGATTTCCAGCAATAAAGTTCTCGTGTCGCGATGCAAAACTGACGGATGACGAGCGGAGAACGGTGCGCTAATTGCCGGACAAATTCGACGCAATCGCGATGGCGAGGGAAGTGAGCTAGCCCGACGAATGGAAAAGCCTCTCTCTGCCCATCGTCTCTATCGATCGTTTGATCGATCGGGGACGGAAGCAATGATTTTTCCCGAGTCTCGACTTGTCACGGCAGCTCGCGCGCGAACGAAAGCAAGCCGATTATTAACACTAATTGCTTAATTCTAGCGTCGGGCTCGCCAATTCCGCCGCGAAAACAAAAAAGAAACGACTGTTACTAGCTGAGAGGAAGAGAGGGAGAAAGAGAATTAGAGAAAAAGGTAGGTAGATAATGCACATTCAATGTAATCCGGAAGTACGCGATTGCACCCGTTACGAGGTGACGCTGCAAAAATATTGAGAGCACCGCCTCACTTCGCCTAATTTCGATCCATCTTGGACGTGTAGTTCCGTCCCGTAAGAGCAAACGGAGATGAATCATCTTTCTTTCTCTCTTAAAGTGAATCGGCAAAAATGTCTCTGATTGAATCAGTAAGAATAGTATTTTACTGACAATCGGTGAATATTCACCGATTTTCAGTGGAAACTTTTCCACTTGAGTGCTCTTCCATCTTATGTTCCACTGACAAGTGGAAGTAACATTTCGCTGCAAAATCTGTAGCAGTGGAACAAATTCGTTACACGTTCGTATCCAACTTCTTGCATTTAGCGACGCAATTAACGACCTCCACACGACTTGTATGCAATGGTACTATCTGTGTTTTTGCAAACTGCATCAATAATAAAAACAGTCGTCGCTATTAACGGATCTTTTCAGCGAGATTTCACTGATTGCAGTGTTATGTTTCTGAGGCGCCAGTTATAAGTACATAGCGTTTCAATGAAGAATACGCTGATTATGAAATTGTTGTAACATGATGGATTTTAACGTGAAGCGCGTTCTCGCGCATTCTTTCTCGCGTTTCTCTCGAATACGCGTTTTGGAAACGTATGATTGTAAGCGCAGCATGCAAAAAAACAATGTTAACCCCTTCTCCGCCCGCTGTTAATTTCATTTCAATCGCTGTTCGAATAATTCACATTACGAGGACAAGGACAGTCGTGTGTCCGAGAATTATCGAGGTGCGTTGGAATCAACCCAAGCGCGAGAAGGAGAGGATATGCCAATCCGAAAAAATGTGCAATCGCGAAATCGTTACGACGATACGACGACGACAACGCGAGAATATCATGAGCGATATATATTTGCAGCGAGATCCCTCGGGCTCTTGCGCGTCAGGATCGCGGCGGTGGAATCGCAAAAATTACGCGACGCCAAGTCGAATCGGCCGCTATCGCGTCCGAATTAATCCGATACGCGCGTTAAAGTCGCCGGAACGACACTTGGGGACGAAAGCGCGTATATACACGGCACGTCGCTTGAAATTCGACCTTTCTGTGCCGCGGCTACGTCCTCGTTTCCGTATCGCGAAAGTGCCGCGATAAGGGCCTCGCCGAAGAACTGAACCGAGTGCTGAATTAATACAGCCGATATCTTCATCGACATACCGCGGATATTTACCGTGCATCCCCGAACGCTCGATATGTCCCTCGCATTTCTTACGCGAACGGCTGTGCGATAAAACGTTGATTTCAGCTACATCGACTCGAAAATTCTCTGGCAAATTCTTTTCTCTCTCTCTCTCTCTCTCTCTTTCTTCTTTTTCTTCTGACGCACGGTTGTATTCATGTATAAGTGTGTGTATGGACTATAAACATTTAATAAAAAAAACCAATTGCTGTCTTCGCATATCGCGACAATATAGCTTAGCGAACAAGTAGCCAGCGACACACTCTGAGCAGGTAAATATTTTTCCGCGGTGAAACACAATTTTCTGATATAATAAATATCGAATAATAAATTACACGACTATTGCGAGCGTTTCCATTTTCGCGATTCCTCCGCCTGCCGCAAGCTCCACTTATTCGCGACCAACAACGTAAGTACGATTCCTGTCTGAGGAAGGGAGGGGGGAAGAGAGAGAAAAAGGGAGAGAGAGAGAGAACGCGCACGAACACGTCGCGTCTCTAGAATGCGAGTCCCTCTGCCACGGCGAGGAGAACTGAAAAAGGCCGCGGACAATAATTCACCGTCACGACGGTATGAAGATATCACTCGCCGACGGCGTGGAATATCTTCAAGGGTAGGCGAAGCGGGCGGGGTGGTCGGTCCCGAGACACGATCGCGGTAGAAACTCGACGGACGACGTCTAACCGACGACGGAGCTCGTCGTCGTCATCGTCGTGCTCGTCGTCGCCGTCTTCCTCCTCGTCAAACGTCGCCGAGCCGACGAGAGGACTCGCGACAAAGCCGGTTCGAGGGAACGCGCGCTGCTAGCAAGCACGGTACATACAATACGATCCGCTATTTGCGGACAGCCCAGCGCTAATTCGCGACCGAAACGGAGAAGAAGTTACACAGCGCGACGTCGCGACGATGTCGGACTGTCACCGAGCCGTTACGCGTAGCAACGATGGAGCGATGGACCGACGACGCTCGAGAAAAGATATTTCAGGAAGCGAAGAGGCGTCGATTTTTAGTGGTCCGGCCACGTGGCGCGGGCCTTGACGCGCGCTCTCACACAGTCGCGACTATTTCGCCCTTCACCTCGTCAGGGGGAGACTCGGCTCGGTCGAGACAATTTCTCCGGCCTGCGCGCACACCACCGTCGAATATGCTGCAGTATCTCGTGTACATAAACGACCTCTTCTTCGGCGAATACTGTCTTCATGAAAATTCATACGAACGCTTAAGTGCCGAATTATGTTGCGCGTGTAACGCTCGGGGGACTCGGGCTTGAA